ACTTCTTCACCTTCAGGCCCTGGCCCAGCACCTCCGAAGTTAACTGGGTTCTTGTTAAGGGATTTAATTTAAGTTACCATAATAGGGATCTATAGTAAATAATATGGTTTCCTTATTATGGTAACTTAAATTAAGTCCCTTGACAAGAACCCAGAAGATCAGGGGTCTGGGGGCTGCAGGCTCGAGGTTTCCGGGCCATGTAGGCTTTAGGGTTTGGGCTTTGGGTTTAGGGATTTTGGGTTTAGGGTTTAGGGTTTAGGTGTTTAGGGCTTTGAGATTAGGGCTTTTTGGTTTAGGGTTTAGGCTTTAGGGTTTAGGCTTTCGGGTTTAGGGAGTTAGGCTTTAAGCTCTAATACTTGAGAGCTTCAGCCCGATAGGTGTAGAGGGCATGCTTGAGGGTGGCCGGGGCTTTTGCTGACAGTAGCTTTCAGGTTCGCTAATGTGCGTCTGTGTGGGTGTGTATGTATGTAGGTTGCATGCATACATGCATACATACATACATACTTACTTACTTACTTACTTAATTACTTATTTACTCACTTCCTTCTTGCATACATACTTACTTGCCTGCACGCATACCCGCATACATACGCACATACATACACGAAGACATACATGTCCTTCACAGTTTCTCTTCTGCTCAGCATCTCTACGCTTCAGACTGGGGCTTCGGGGCAGCACACAACTACCCAAAATACCCTAAACCGCCCAAAATTACCTTGTTGTCATGTAGATGCCGGTACAGGAACTTCTATAGTTCCTTTACAAAGGAGCCCTAACCCCTAACCCCTAAACCCTAAACCCTAAACCCAAGGAGCCCAAAGCCCTAAGATGGAGGGAGGAGGTGGCCTGCTCGAGCTTCTTGGCCTCGGTGCGTGGGCACAAGAGCCGGACCCTGAAACTTGGAGTTGAGGGTGTCTTTTTTCTGGGGGGGGTTCGGGGTTTAGGGTTCAGGGAGTTGCGGGTTTCCCTTTGTTTTTAAGGTTTAGGGTTTAGGGAGTTGAGGGTTTCCTTCTTTTTCGGGGGTTAGGGGTTTAGGGTTTAGGGAGTTGAGGGTTTTCTTTTTTTTAAGGTTTAGGGTTTAGGGCTTAGGGAGTTGAGGGTTTCCCTTTTCTTTAAGGTTTAGGGTTTCGAGTTTAGGGAGTTGAGGGTTTAGTGTCTAGGACGTCGGCGATTTCTTGTTGAGAGGCACCCAAGATCTTTAGTTTGGATCCCGGGTTCAGAAGAAACTTAGCTCGGGCTTTGAGGCGTTTGAAGGGGCTTCGGTTTAGGGTTTAGGG